TCTCCAGGGTTTGAACATTTTAATCCAGTCATGCTTTTACAGAATGTGCCACAGACCCACCGGATCAGCAAAGGTGACTCAAACAGAGTCTGTAGAAGACGAACAAACAACTGCGGGCAGCAGAGTAGTCCGTCCCAGAGATGTTTACTTCAATGTATTGCAGCCGTGCACGCGCACATGAAGACACAACAACAAAAACATTTTTCACTAGATTTATTTCAAGAAAGAAAAAATAAGAATAAAAACAAAATCTCATCCATTTGTCTCTTTCTCAAAAACGTCCAAGTTAAATACATCTGTAGAATAACAAGACCACCCAAGAAAACTCATCAGAAGGTGATAGATACACCCCTCAGTATAAACGTCTTTTATAACATTAGTCCGAGTTTTTAATTTGTGGTGAAATATAAATCGGTAGAGCCTAAACACACATCGTTTATCTTCAAATCCCAACTGGAGTTGTTCAAACATGGCTTAGAAAAAAATAAAAATAAAGGAAGCAACTACTTGAAATACATTACAGAATCAAAATACAGTACTTCTACCTGTAATGATGACAGACTAAAAAAAAAAAAGCCTTTTAAACTTTATTTACAGCAAATATATTCTTGCGACTTTCATCAAATGTGTCACAGATGAGCACTGACGTTACGTCGCAGGTCAGAGTCCTGCTGTGACGAAGGGAAATCCAGTGCATCGGGTTGAGACTTCACAAACAAGCCGTCATGACGGAACAGACAAGTTCAAATTGGCGTTAAAGAATAAACTTTACCTTAAGTCACGTCTGGTCTACACCTCCCAGCTTGTCCAGGAAGTAGAGAATGTTTGCTTGGCACATTTTGCCCTGACTTCATAACAAACATTACAGGACAGAAACGCACACACACATTATAGAAAAATGTAAAAGGTTTAAACTCTCAAAAGCATGTTAGAATTGAAATAATTCCACTTTATTAACCTTTTCAATGGAAACGTGATGTAACACAAAAGCTTTTGACAAATCAGACCTTAAAGCAATAATTTAACAAGAGGCTTCTACTAAATCCTATTTACATACATGTATCTATGTAACGTCAGAGGCAGACACCTGATATTGCACATGAAAAAGGTAGGTACATATGAAAGGTGCTTTAACGATAATAAAAAAAGGATCCGAGAGAGAAATATGGTGGCTTTTCTTTTAAGATCACCTGTATGCCCTTTAAACACATCATATAAAGTTCATGAACCTTTTCAAGGCTGACCAGAACTATTTTATCCGGCCATGCCAACACACGTCCCAGTGAAGGAGTGACACATTCGTCAAAACGCTTTAAAAGCCAGTCAACTTTCCCACAAAAGCATCCTGACAAGCTCTTTTCAAAGAAAAGTCTCAACTAAAAGCTGATTGTAACATTTTATCTTCTCTAACTTTCTTCTAACCTATAACAAGTTGCATCAAAGGCAATGGACTTTTTTCCTTCTTGATGATGTTCAGTGATTTACATTATTAGTGTTTAACGTACATCTTAGATGTTGAGCGTTCGTTTAGCGTATATCTTAGATCCTTATATACTGTTTCTTTTTATACTATATATTTTTGCTATTTTTGGGTCTAACTGGGACCTTGAGTACACGGTTTCGTTCCACCTCATGTACCACGTGATGCGAATGATAATGAAGAGCCTTGAACTTGAGTTTCACATCTCATCCAATTTCCAAAAGCAGAATGGGAGGAAGATCTTTCAGTTATCAGGCTCCTCTCTTGTGGAACCAACTTCCAGTTTCTGTCCATGAGGCTGACACATTGTCCAGTTTTAAGACTGGGATTAAGACTTTCCTTTTTGATAAATCCTATAGTTAGGGTTGGCTTGTTATGGTGTCTTAAGCTACTAGAGGACAAATTGACCTCATTTCTTTAAATTAATTGTTAAAACTGAATAGTTTTCATTTGATATTTCTATCTTAACATGTGATTCTTGACCAGCCATTGTGTATCTGTTCCTCTCAAACCCAGCCAGTCGAAGCAGATGGTCACTTGTCCTGAGTCTGGTTCTGCTAAAGGTTTCTTCCTCATGAGGGAGTTTTTCCTTTCCACCGTCTCCTTCATGCTTGCTCAAGATGAGAGTTCTGTGATGGAGTTAAACTCAAATCAGTCTGCTCCTCGGATAAATAACGTTAAATTATTATTTTTATATATGAATGTTTCTGTTCAGTGTCCTGAGACGACTTCTGTTGTGACTTGGTGCTATAGAAATAAAATGAATTGAAGTGAATCCAAGACAGCAGCACGGTGGCGCAGCAGGTAGAGCTGCTGCCTCTCAGCGAGCAGGTCCCTGGTTCAAACCCCGGTCCGGGGGTCTTTCTGGGTGGAGTTTGCATGTTCTTTCTGTGCATGTTTGGGTTTTCTCCGGGTACTCCAGTTTCCTCCCACAGACCAAAAACATGCATGTTAGGCTGATTGGTAACTTTCAATTGTCTCTAGGTGTGAGTGAGAGAGTGAATGGTTGTTTGTCTCTATGTGTCCCTGTGATGGACTGGAGACCTGTCCATGGTGTCTCCTGCCTCTTGCACAGTGATGGCTGGATGTGGGCATCAGTGACCCCCACAACCCAAAAAGGAAGAAGCGGGTAAAGATAATGGATGGATGGAAAGTTAAATCATGTCATCTGCTTCAGTGCTGGCACCAATACTCTTTACCTTGTATATGCTTCCATTAGGTAAAGTTATTTAACAGCATGGGATACATTTTCATTGTTATGCTGATGAAACAATGATATACAATATTTGTCCATGAAACCCATTGAACCCAATCAGCTACTTAAACTACAAGCATGTCTTAAAGATATAAAAACCTGGATGACCCTTAATTTTCTCCTTTTAAACCCAGACAAGACTGAGGTTTTAGTTTTTGGACCTGAGCACCTTAGGAATAAATTTTTCAGTCTTTCTCCCTCCTTAGATTACATTAATCTGTCCTCCAGCTCTAATTTATTTTTGATCAGGACATGTCTTTTATCACCCACATTAAAAACAGTACTAGAACCACCTTCTTCCATCTGTGTAATATCACAAAAATATTTTATCTTATCTAAAATGATGTAGAAAAACTGGTTCATGCATTTATCACGTCTAGACTGGACTATCGCAATGGTTTATTATCTGAGTGTCCAAATATTTATTTAAAACATCTTCAGTTGATCCAAAATGCTGCTGCCAGAGTCTTAACTGGAGTTAGTGGGAGAGATATATATTTCTCCAGTTTTAGCTTCTCTCCATTGGCTCCCTGTCAAATCCAGAACTGAATTCAAAATCTTACTTCTAACCTACAAAGCCCTCAACAACCTAGCTCCATTTTATATTACAGATCTTATTGTTCCATATTTTCCTAACAGAGCACTTTGATCTCAGACTGCAGGTTTACTCGTGGTCCCTAGAGTTTCCAGAAGCAGAATGGAGGAAGATCTTTCAGTTATCAGGCTCCTCTCTTGTGGAACCAACTTCCAGTTTCTGTCCATGAGGCTGACACATTGTCCAGTTTTAAGACTGGGATTAAGACTTTCATTTTTGATAAATCCTATAGTTAGAGTTAGCTTGTTATGCTACCATAGGCTTAGACTACTGGAGGACAAATTGACCTCATGTCCTTAAATGAATTGTTGCAATTGAATAGTTTTCATTTGATATTATTTCTATCTTAACATGTGATTCTTGACCTGCCATTGTGTATCTGTTCCTACCAAACCCAGCTGGTTGAAGCAGATGACCTCTTGTCCTGAGCCTGGTTCTGCTAAAGGTTTCTTCCTCATGAGGGAGTTTTTCCTTTCCACTGTCTCCTTCATGTTTGTTCAAGATGAGAGTTCTGTGATGGAGTTAAACTCAAATCAGTCTGCTCCTCGGGTAAATAATGTTAAATTATTATTTTTATATATAAATGTTTCTGTTCAGTGTCCTGAGACGACTTCTGTTGTGGCTTGGTGCTATAGAAATAAAGTGGATTGAAGTGAATCTGGACAAGTTTCTTTAAGAGAGAAATGTTTTTTTTATTATTCAAAACACTTCCTCAGTCTGCGGCCTGCCAAACCAGAAGTGTCCCATAAATATCCTTCATTGATGAGTTTCAAGCCAAACTCAACTGGAAGTTGGTTTGAAACATTTCTCCCTCACTTGTCCAGATGACACAATGTAACATTTTTTGTTGTCATCTACCTGGATGATTGAGTTTACAAACCTTTTTCTGAACCATTTTGGCCTTGGTGTTCCTCAGGCTGTTTCTGTAAGTTTGAGTAAGTTGTCCATCTGGTCTAAAACATTTGATTGTTGTTCATGATCATTGAGTGTTTTGGATGGATGGTCCATTTTTACACGTGCTAGAAGCCGGTTTCTGGGAATTCAACAGAAGGTTGGCTTGAAACACATCAGGCGCTATTTATGGGACAGTTCTTGGTTGGCATGCCTCAGACGGATGAAGTCTTTTGGATGAAAGACGAAACGTTTCTCCCTTAAAGAAACTGTCCAGATGACATGAATTAACCTTTTTTGTGACTTTGTTTATAAGCCTTTTAAAAAAAATAAGCTTTATTAAGCTTTTCAGTTGTGAAATTAAAGCTCCTTGCATGAGAAGTGAAGAATTTTTAAGAATCAAAAAGAAGTCCGGCTGTCCTGGATTCAATTTGTTAAGATTACTACGCCTTGGACGGCATGGGTGTTCATAACTAGAAGGGGAGAAGAAGAGCAGCAGATGATTTGTGGTTGGTGTCACCTTCATCAGCTTGTTTCCTCTCTCTCCTGATCTTGAGCCACGTTAGACCAGCCCTTCTCTGCCTCTCATCCACACACACTTCTGTCCATCATTTTACTTGAACTCTGCAGCATTTTCTTAAACATTAAAGTAAAACTGAGTGTGGCATGTTGACACAAAAATACCCTTGGCCCTGAAGTAATTGTATTTTTTTTTTTTTTTATGAGGCACAAATCAGAGAACTCAATACCTTTGGAGTACAGCAACTGTTTTTCAAGAAATAAAAATGTATATGATGGCTACATCTCTTGTTCAGCTGTTTCGTATTTTTGGATTAACCAAAACAAACAAAAAAATTATTTTATCCGCCTTAAACACTCGGAGCAGGTCGTACAGATAAGCAAGAACAAAGAGAAAAGAGATGGCATTACGTCTACAATTATACACGTCCTCAGCATGATTCAGTGAACACGAGGATTCTCACGCTTTAACCCAGCATCCACACTAAACAAAGTTTTATAGATTAAAAGCTCTAAGAAAGGCAGCAAAGATGCGCAATAAGGCAGATCCATATGACACGCTCGGTGACACACGATATAAAGACACTGCTGCTGCACATTTACACCAACAGATGAGACGGATCTTTTAAAGGGCTTATGTTTCACCATCTATAGAAGGTTTGTGGGAGAAGTGAACAGAAAAGTGTGGTTGGACGGTGAAAAGAATAAACTGAAAGACTTTTGTTTTTGGTGACTTTGTATCCGCAGGAAGTGTGATTTTTTTGTTTACTGTGTGAAAGCAGGGATCTGTGATATTGATGAGTGATTGTCAAAGTGTCACCTAAACCTTAGTAAAACAAAGAGGGAGGGTTACATTGTAGTTCAAATGTTTAGGCAAATGGGCCAAAACTCCCAGGTCACAAATGAATGAAACGATAGGAAAATGTGTTTTGATGTTGAAAAAAATTACACAGCTATCTTCTTCTTCTTTTTTTTAATTATTGATGGAGAAATTTGTTGCTGACCCGGATAAAAAGAACACGCGACGTCTATGCATCTCAGAAAACACACACAAAGAGAGAAATGTGGTAGCTGCATTTGTGTGGACGAAGCGGAGACGTTTAAATGCAAACGAGTTTTTATGAAACATTTTACACCACCTATCGCCTCACTGTCACACGCTGAAGCCGTCTTCGCCCTGTCTGAACGGTATGAACAGCATGTGCATGTGTCGGTTTGTGAGCGTTTTTACAATCTTCAGCAGATGTTCAGCTGTATGGATGGATTTGTGACTGGACGAGACGGTACGTTTTTCAGCAGAGCTGCTGAAAAACAACTAGATAAAGTCCTCACATTTGACTCTCCTCCACTGCTTGACAACAGCAACACGTAGCATCTAATCAGGGAACTGACTCAGACGAAGCCTCTTCGTTCCAGGTCACCTGTCGGATTCAGTTTGTTTGAAACTTTCCATCCTGCATCAGTGTTTGACAGCAGAGAGACCTGTCTCTCTTTGGTCACATAAAAAGCTATCCTCAGCCTCTTATTGGACCACAGAAAACCCCAGAAAAACCATCACCGGCCTGCCATCTTCACTGTCACTGGCCCTGCCCTCCATCTGTGTCGTCAAGGCAACCATTGAGGCAGTGGTCATCGCTCCCGAAAGCACCCTGGGACTGAAGCAGCTCGTATTCCTGGTCCAGAAAGTCCAGACTGTTGTTGCTAGGCAACCCGCGGATGGTAAACTTGTGCGACACTTTGGTCCACTGCTCACGATTTGCCGCCACAGTCTCGTACAGCTCGGTGGCCCCGGGAAAGAGTTCAGACAGCAGCCTGCGAGGGAAAGAGAAGGAGGGTTAGCTCTTTGAGGAGCTAAATTTAAAGTGACGCTCACTCATGATGAATCTCGTCTGTCACTTTGTTTCTAACAGAAAGATGTAAATCATCTCAGTGCTTTCATATTCATTTATTCATACAGTTAAAGTAAATTAAGTATATTTAGACGTGAATCTTAGTTTGATATTTTTTATATAGAGTTGTTTATAGATAGGAAATTATAGTATTTCTGAAAGTGAGTAGAAAAAAAAAGCCACTGTATAACAGAGGTGGTCATTACGTTTTCACGAGTCTGTACTGACCTAATCAAAGCAAACAAATGGCCTTTTACACCTTAATGTGGAAAAAAACATGTCTATCTGAACACATCAGTATCAGATATACTTTATCATAACTGGTATTTGTGATAAATGTTATGGTTAGCCTCAATATGCAACATTTAGTTATATTTCCCCATTTGAAACATTTATAATCAGTCTTATTGAGTCATCCCATCACTATTCTGAAAAAAAAAAAAAGTTTTGGGCCATGCTGGTTTAAAATCTAGAGAAAAAATATACTTATACTCTGCTGAGGTGAAACGTGGGCAGTCATGTAATCTCCAGTGCCAGTGCAGGGTTGCGCTTGTTAATCTGTCTGTTAGTAAAATATCTAATGAACTAGTTGGCACATTTAAATGAAACTATTAAAGTAAATCACTGGTTGTTCATTAGCAACTGGAGTCAACCTGATTCAAGATGGCCGCCACAATTAGTGCTAGCAAAGACGAAGTAGTACCACCATGGTCAGTTTAACAGGACTTAAATTTAGTGTGGTAGTAGCTGAGGGTCATTCCCAACACATGGGTAACGTGATAACAAATCACACAAAATCTTTGTTTAAAACTTTGACATACGAGGCGGCAGGCGGCAGGCACTAGTTTCCTTAATTTAGACTTAGCTTTTAATTGTATTAAAACATATTAATAAAATGCTGGTTTTCAATTATTTATTTTAAAGATTTCATAAAAGGGCTTCGGGGGCTGAATAGAGGTATATTTTCTGTTCAGAGGCACAAATGCAACATTAAGCATTCAGCTGGAGTCCTGGTCGTTTTCACAGTAAATGTACATTTCTGTTTTCACTCTAATTTCATCATCATTTATGTTCTGGCTCACACCTCCAGGAGGAAATATGGGACTGAGCTGCTAAAAGCTTCTGCTTTTTATCTGCAAGTCAAATAACTATGATGAATATACATATACATACATACATACATACATACATATAGTAGAATAACCTTCACATCAATGTGAAGATGACGAAGGAGATGGTCGTGGACTTCAGAAGGAACAAAAACATCTACACCCCCCTGAACATAAGAGGATCTGCAGTGGAAGTGGTCTCCAGCTACAAGTACTTGGGGTGTACACCTGAACAACAACCTCAGCTGGAGCAACAACACCACCAGCCTGATCAAGAAAGCTCATCAGAGACTCTACTTCCTCAGGCGGCTGAGGCGAGCTGGTCTGGGAAGCTCAGTCCTCACCTCCTTCTACAGGTGTGCAGTGGAGAGCATCCTGTGCTCCAGCATCAACGTGTGGCATGGAGGCTGCACAGCTGCAGAAAGAAAAGCTCTGCAGAGAGTGGTGAAGGCTGCACAGAAGATGTTGGAGTCAGTCTCTCCACCATCACAGACATCTACACCTCCAGATGCAGGAAGAGAGCCACCTGCATCATGAAGGACCCCACTCACCCAGCACACACACTTTTTGCCCCACTCCCCTCAGGAATGAGGTTGTGGAGCATTAAGTGTAGAACCACTAGACTGAGGAACAGCTTCTACCCTGAGGCTGTTAGACTCATGAATCTCTAACCAGAATAATCACTGTGAGAAAATCACATCATGTTGCTGCTGATCTGTTTCATGTTGCTGCTGATCTGTTTCATGTTGCTGCTGATCTGTTTCATGCTGCTGTGTTCATGCGTGCTCATCTGCTCACACAGACTCATGCTCGTGCTGCTGTTGGACGTAATGTTTTAATGCCACTGGTGAAATAGGAATCATTGATTTTGCACAGAACAAGTTGTGATGCATGTGAAGTCAGCTGGACGTGAGCGAGCTCATATTTCTCAGACGTACTTGTAGATGGGCATGGCGATGTGCTCCATGAAGCTGATCTGTAGCTCTGGGATGTACGCTTTCTCTCGGTCCATCATCTCGCTCGGCCGGTTCCCCATGGCTTTTTCCTGCAGTGCACACACACACAGGCATGACATAATTAATGCACATGGTAATGTGTAAAACAACTTGCATTATTAGAAGTTATTAAACAGCTTGTCCACACTGAAACATACCAGATCTCCTTGAGAGAAAAACTCTTTGTAAATCAGCTCCTGCAGGAACACAAAGAGGCAGAAGTCTTTTACTGCTCAGTGTTTTAGATTTGTTATAACAGACATGAGATTCATGATTTTTGAGACAAAACCACTGTCACTTTACAAGCTTGTGCAAAAAACAAAGTATTTAATCAAGTTAACGTTATATATAAAGCCATGCTGCTGTTTCACTTGAGGATTTTTGATTTTGTGAGTTTTTTTTCTCCTTTTTTCACTAAAACAATTTCAGCCTTTATTCCAACTCACTTTGTGGAGTGATGGATGCACCTGATAGGACTATAACAAGCCAGGTGTGCTGCAGGGATTTTCTCCACAGAACAGAAAAGAAAAGGATTTCTTGTTTTAGGAACAAGGATTATTATGTTTATATTTTTGTGTGCTAGACATTTGGAGATTGAGGGCAGAATTTAGGACGAGGTTTATGGGGTTTTGGTTTAGAAAAGAGGGCAGGTCAAGATTAAACATAATCCTCAAATGGAGAGTGGTCTCATAAAAGAGATTATAATAAAGTTTATAGGTTGTTTACTTTACGCTTTGTTTATGGCTCAGCCATTGTTTACTGAAAGTCTTTACAAATGATTGACTGAAAACTAACAGTCTGTTATTCTTGTTAATAAAAAGGGGTGTGGTCAATAAACTGACAGCGATCTTGCGGGTGGTTTTCCAGTCCTTGGTTTGGTCGGACAGATCACATGAAGTCATCAACAGGCACAGCAGCAGGGAGTGATGGGTACGACTCTTTGTGTTGTATCCATCTGAAATACACAAACACACAGCTGAAGGGATTGGGCACTACTACAGTACTGTTCGCAGGCCTCCAGTCATCACTCATTATTATCATTATTATTATTATTATTATAAAGATGGGCAACGATGAGGAAAAGTGACCCTGATTAAAGATGGCCGCCACAGTGAATCAATCTTGGCAAACCAAAAATGGCTCTAACTCAGTCAATTTTACAGATTTTGAGCTAAGACTTGGTGCGGTAATGCTTTAAAGTCACCCCAACACGTACTCTCAATATTAACGAATCACACAAAACCTCGTCTAAAATGTTAGAAAATGAGGAAACAACAATAAATAAATAACTTATACCAACATTCAAAAGCATAAAGAAGTAGAAGTCCACTTTTAAACATTAAAATTAGAATTTTTAGAAAATGTGGCTCCTTGGAATAAAAATGTACATTGAGTGAGTATCAACATTTCTGCAAACAGTAACTTGGTTCACTGACAAAAAATGGTGAATAAAATATCAAACCAAATAAAAGAATGAATAAATATATTGAATGAAATATAAAATAAATAAAATAAATTAATTAAATATATCCATCCATCCATCCATCCATTATCTTTACCCGTTTATTCCATTTTGGGTCACGGGGGTCACTGGTGCCCATGTCCAGCAATCACTGTGTGAGGGGCGGGGTACACCCTGGACGGGTCACAAGTCCATCACAGGGACACATAGAGACAAAGGAGACAAACAACCATTCACTCTCTCTCTCACACCTAGGGACAATTTAGAGTTACCAATCAGACTAACATGCATGTTTTTGGTCTGTGGGAGGAAACCGGAGCACCCGGAGAAAACCCACGCATGCACGGAGAGAACATGCAAACTCCACCCAGAAAGGACCCTG